AGTTCTTGAACATTTACAGATTCAATTACATGAGCTACAATTAAATCACTCATGGATCTTGTTCCTTTTCTGAACAGAGTACCCATTCCTTGAAATGCATGTTGTTCAAATAATGTTTCTTCTTCCTCTTTTAGAAAGAAAAAAACGCAGAGGAGGAGGAGAAATAGTCATAAAATGGGTCAATATTATATTTTTAGTGGGTCGGATCAAGTGGAACGGGTCATTAAATGGTATTTTTTAAAAAAAAATTGATTTGTCATATAAATAATTAATATCAATAAATTTTAATTAAAAATAATTAAATAAATTGAGTGACTTTTTGAGAGAAAAGTAAATATTTGAGTGACTTTTGAGTTAAAATTCAAAGTTAGTTGACTTTTTGAGAGAAAAGTACATAATTGAGTGATTTTTGAATTAAAATTGAAAGTTAAGTGACTCTCTGATGGAAGAATACATAGTTGAGTGACCATCGGTGGTATTAACTCTTCATTTTAGGTTGATATGTATGAAATTAAATAAAAGTAAAAATTTGATTATATATTTTAATGAAGAATTGCTCATTTATAATCTAGTAAACATTTTTAGTTTACTTTAAATGCAAATGTAACATCCTATTCATTTTATTTGTAAAGTTACTTTGTGACATTTTTTAAAATATTATTTTTATAATATCACAACTAATTTTATTTATTCTTTAATTTCACTCAAATATATATTATTAATTTATTACATTTAATTATTTCTTTTTAGGTATATTAATTAGAGCAAAAATAAAATTAAATATAATTAACCATATTTTTTAAATAATGAATTTTTATAAAAGCTGATATTTGTAGTAAATATAATGAATAGAAAAAATATCAATAATTAAATTAAAATGATAATAAAATAGAGTAATGAGTAAATATCACAATAAGTCGTTAAAAATGAAGTAATAACAAAATGAGTTAATGATAATCATAATTACTAAAAATATCTCTAGAACTATTTAATTTTCTTGTTATTATTCTTGATAGATTTTTATTAGGGTGACGTTATATGTTAACCTTTTGATCATCATTCGCTTCATATATAGAAAGATGTTTCTAGAATTATTCATTGTTCTTGCTATTTTTCTTGATAGATTTTTGTTAAAATAAAATTATATTTTTATTCATGGTCGTCTTAAGTACAAATATATCATCTTATTCATTTTATTTGTAAAATAATTTTTAACATCTTTTCTTTATTTCAATCTAATATATATTATTAATTTTAAACACTTATTATTTTCAAGTATATTAATTAGAGTCAAAATAAAGATGAAAATAATTAATTCATAATGTATTTTTAAATTAAAGTAGGCATTTTTTATAAGCATAATGAATAGAAAAAATATTAAGAATTGAATTAAAGTAATAGTAAAATAGAGTAATGAATATATATTAGAATGACTCACAAAAGCAAGTGAAGTAATAACAAAATAAACTAATAGTAATAACAATAACTAAAGATGTTTCTAGAACTATATGACTTTCTTGTTATCATTCTTGATAGATTTTTGTTAGCGTAAAATTACATTTTTACCCTTGATCATTATTCACTTCATATATATGAAAGATGTTTCTAGAATTATTTACTATCTTTCTTAATACATTTTTGTTATAATGAAATTGATTTTTACCCTTGGTCGTCATACCACTGCACTCTTCTATATAATAGAAATTCAATGTAATGTTATTATTAATTTTAGGGAAAAGGGTCAAATATACCCCTAAACTTTTCGAAAAGGTTTAAATATGCCCCCCGTTTAAAGTTTGGTCCATTTATATCCTCGCCGTCCAATTATTGGTACAAATATGCCCTTATGGGCGTTAGTTGGCCACCTCAGAATATCCAGCGCATTTTACTTTTTTTAATTGCCCAAATGGATTTTCCACGTCATTTTAATATTACATCGTGGCATTTATATTACAAAAGAGAAAGGGTCAAATATGCCCCTAAAAATCTGACCCATTAAACCCTTTTATTACCCATATTTTATGGTTCAATTATACTCCTCTTTTAAATAACTTATCCTACCCATATCCGACCCAAAACCCATATCCCTTTTCCCCCAAAACAAATCCCTAATTTTGCTAAACTTCCTTTTCCCCCATGTTCAGGTTTGGTGCGTATGAGGACAAAGGAAATTAGCGATTTGTGTTCTTGGGGGAAATTAGCGATTTGTGTCCTTTAGGAAATTAGCGATCCCATGTTCAGGTTTGCTGCATATGAGGACGAAGGAAATTAGCGATTTGTGTTCTTGGGGGAAATTAGCGATTTGTGTCCTTTAGGAAATTAGCGATCCCATGTTCAGGTTTGTTGCGTATGAGGACGAAGGAAATTAGCGATTTGTGTTCTTGGAGGAAAAGAAAGTTTAGGAAATTAGGGATTTGTTTTGGGGGAAAAGGGATATGGGTTTTGGGTCGGATATGGGTAGGATAAACTATTTAAAAGAGGGGTATAATTGAACCATAAAATATGGGTAATAAAAAGGTTTAATGGGTCGAATTTTTAGGGGCATATTTGACCCTTTCTCTTTTGTAATATAAATGTCACGATGTAATATTAAAATGACATGGAAAATCCATTTGGGCAATTAAAGAAAAGTAAAATGTGGTGGATATTTTGAGGTGGCCAACTAACGCCCATAAGGGCATATTTGTACCAATAATTAGACGGCGAGGGTATAAATGGACCAAACTTTAAACGGGGGGGCATATTTAAACCTTTTCGAAAAGTTTAGGAGCATATTTGACCCTTTTCCCTTAATTTTATTACACTTATTTATTTTCAAGTATATTAGAGTCAAAATAAAAATGAAAATAATTAATTCATAATTTATTTTTATATTAAAGTAGACGTTTTTTATAAGCATAATGAATAGAAAAAATATTAAGAGGTAAATTAAAGTAATAGTAAAATAGAGTAATGAATAGATATTACAATGACTAACAAAAAAAAGTGAAGTAATAACAAAATAAATTAATAGTAATAACAATACCTAAAAATGTTTCTAGAACTATTTTATTTTCTTGTTATCATTCTTGTTATATATTTTTTTAGCGTGAAACTACATTTTACCCTTAATCATTATTCACTTCATACATACAAAGATGTTTCTAGAATTATTTACTATCTTTCTTAATACATTTTTAATAGAATGAAATTATATTTTCACCCTTAATCGTCCTACCACTTCACTCTTCTATATAATAGGAAAATATATATATATATATATTATTTTTTTCTTGTAACAAAGAGATAAGACAAGAATGAGTGAAAAGAAAAATATTATACTCTATTTTCTCGTCTAACTTTCTTCTTAATTTTAGTACAATTATTTTTTTTGTTATTTTAACGTTAATATTCATTTCATAACATGTTATCAGTATCGAGTTCTGATCAAACTCATCATCTCTTGGATGTGTTTATCCTCTTCATTAGAAGAATGTATGTTATAGATTCAGTCAGCTAAACTCCATCAAACTCCTCAATCAATATCAATAAGATGTCATGACCGCTTAGGCTAGATTTACTTTGATTTGAATGTAAACTAAAATAAGCGGCGTTTTCTTTTAAAAGTTAATCTCAGTATCGATGCTATGCATACTTTTATATGAATTTTACTGCGTATATATTATATTACTCCCTTGTGACTATGCTCACAACTCAAAAGAAAAATTGAATAATTCCACCAATCAATTACAAACAAAAAGAAAATTTTCGACTAACTAGATTATTAATATTTAATTCTATGTCATATATTCTCATTCCGTCAATAGATATTGATTTGCTACAGTAATAGACTAAATGATCTACATAATATATTCCAAATTTATCATATTAACATTTACAATAAGCCCATTTTTGTGTGTATAAAGATTATACATTAGATAGAAATATACACTTCATAATAGAAAAAAATATGGCTACTTTTTGTTTCTCTACTTCAATGATAAGCTAACAAAATATTTTTACATTTTGATAAGCTTCCTTCATAATAATAATTACATTAATTCTAATTTGTATATATCTGCAAAAACAGTAATGCTAATTTTAAGAGTTGGCAAAATATTTTATTGACATATTACGTACATGTTGTTGAAACAATATAACTTACAGACTTTATTAGATTCAATTATCAAGTATTTATTTAATTTTTAAATTTTAAAGTATCATTTTATTCATTGCAATAACTAGTAACAATAATAATTTATTACAAGATATATATAAAATAAGTTATGACAATAATATGCATAAACAAAAAATTTATACAGTACGTATCATAAGATATTCAAGAAACAAAACTATGACGACATTATTTTTATATTATTTAAATCTAAGAATAGCTAGAAGAAACTTGTTATATTCCAAAACTAATATAACTATGTAAATAATAACAGAATCAGATATATTAAATACTTATGAAGTGAACTAACTAAAATTTAAATAGATGAGTAAAAATCAACATGTGACTAAATACATGTGTTTATTATGTATGCAGAGGCGGACCCACGTGGTGTCCGCCGGGTGGTCGAGCACCCATTAATTTCGTTACGGAATATATATATATTTATGTAGAAATTGGGGTATCTGTATATAATTAATATAGAGCACTCAACGAATAATTGGCCCAATGACTTCTGGTTGTGTACTTAAAACTTTTTTAGTGTTGTTGTACGAAGGTTCGAATCTCATTGTTAACACATATTTTTTATATTTTCACTTTAAAGCACCCACAACTCACATATTTTTTATATTTTCACTTTAAATTCCTAGATCCGCCACTGTATGTATGAGATATAAACTTAATTCATTTGAAAATAAATTGAAGGTTAGTACTAATTACATATTACGGAATAAAATTAACCCTCTGCTTTCAATATGATATTCCCGAATACCGAAGTTATCCAAAATATAGAAAAACACTGCTTTTACAATTGAACTGATAGCATACAGATTCTTTATCTTATTAGTTTATATATAATATAGAATCTTTTATTATTTAACGTTGATAACAAGATCTACAAGACTTAAAAACACATAATTTTAACATATAGTAAACAACAAGGTGTAATTCCACCACAATTTGTTGCACAAACTGCTAAAATAACTTATAACAACTTATTCTGGTGATCTGGGAATTGGGAAATGTTCTTGAGCAGCATCAGACCTTTATCAGGACGCTTTGTCCTTTGGCGATGACGGAAGCAACTGCACGAGAAAAATTAAACAACTCAGTACCAGAGACGTGGGCTTCTAGCTAGCTCGATTCCAATTGGCTACAGATATGGAACGTGCATCTAACTCACATGTCATGTACTTAACCGAAGCTTGGGGTGCACCCCTTTGTAACTCTTTTATCTTTTCATTTCTACTTAACTTAAAAAACATAGGTGATCGATGAAAAGACGAGTGCAGAACTTGTAGTAAGTACTAATACACACCTGATAACATGAAATCAGCGAGCTAACGAAGCCAAAGGCTCCCGTTACACGAGGGGTGACTTTCTTGGGTGCCAATTGAAGTAATCCAACAGCAACCACTATATCTGTGCCTGCCTTAATCAGGGCTAGGGATCTCTCATTCGACTTTTGAAGCTTACTTCGATATTGCTCATTCTGCAATAACCATATATGGATAACAATCTACAAGCAGAATTTTCAATAGTAAACAAGCGAAAAATGGTTGAAATTCCCAAACCATATATTTATCAGTATTCTTTAGTTCCTTTTCTAACTTTTTCATTGATGATGAAAGCCTTCCAAGTTCTCCAATCTGGTTTAAGTAACAATGAACAAAATTAGTGGCATAAAACCAAATATTAGGAGCGATAAATCCAATTTACCAATGAGGGTAATTACCTCCACCAAGGCGGTACAAATTGAGGATCCCATCCAACTAAAGAAAGAGATTCTGCCAATCAACTCCGTTTGTTCTTTGTTCTATATAAACAAAAGAAAGAGCGTGAGGATATTTCATCTTCGTTATCTTCATAACAAATTTCGGGATTAATGATACAAAGTAATTTGATACCTTGTAAATGCCTGACCTTCCAAGCCAGACAAATTGATCCAGAAACAAATAAGTTGATAGTAATGCATTTTTAGACTGAAATCAAGACGTTTGTTAGCAAGGAAACACAAGAACTAACAAGAAACCGAAAGGATAAATTGTTAGATTCTTTACCTTTCCCAACAAGATGAGTGGAAGTGGGGTTCCTGGAGCATTTGGGCTAATAAGAGCATGAAGATCATTGATAAACTGTAGCACAGCATAATAAAATGAGGCGTATTGTATGAACGTGGAAATGAGAATTCGGAACAGAAATTTTGCTACACCTAAAACAGACCACCATATTGTTGTTAAAACAAGAATTTCTCTTATCATGAAAATCCATTGTCGAAAGACATAATTAAATAAATGAAAGTCTGTTATCTCTAATAGTTTTAAGTTTTAAGCTTTTAGATAAGATGGTCACACACTTCAACATGGTACCACCAAATCAGACAAAGGTCTTGGGATCAGGTCGTACATGAGGTGGTGTATTGAAAGACATAATTTAAGTAGATAAAAGAGATGGTCACGCATTTCAACATCACATTCCCGACCTTGAAAAGACGGAACAATTTCCTTGCTAAACTAGTGGATTTATCAACATTTTGCGCAGTCCCGGGCTGTCCATCACTCAGGAATTTTGCACCATATTGTATAGCCCTGCATATCTTGTCTCTTGCTTCTGCTTTGTTCAAATACAACACTGCAAGTGCAAGCTCAGCGCGTGCGACATCTAAGGTGCTCATTTTAGATACTGCAAAATCATAAAAACACATGATTGATATAATAAGTGGATGACCACAAAACTAATCGTAATGCACATGTTTCAAAAGTTATATAGCCACACAAACGTATCACATGCTTCAGATCATAACTTTCAAAAGCTTCTTAAACTCGGTGGCGATTCAAACTATGTGACATAATTTGGAAGGAAGTGAATACTCAAATGACACCAATGATTGAGATCAGAATTAAGTAAAGAACACTGACTGTAGGAGAAAGAGGGAAAATGAAACACTACAAAGCCCTTAGGCTAATGAGGTAACTCACTTTTCTTACAAAGCCTCAAGAATCGAATCCTCACCAACAAGCTGAGAGTTCAAATAGTCAACCAACTATGATTTTCTAATTTCAACTAATCAAGTAAGGACTCCGTAATTTCAACAAGGTGAGTTCAGGTAGTCTACTTAAAACTACTCACTCTTTCCCAATTTAAGTCTTTTACATTTTTTTTGGTCTATCCCAAAAAATAATCTCTTTCTATGTTTAGTCAAATTCAATACCATAAAATTCAAAAATCTCATTTTATTATTTGGGAAAATGCACACGTATCCCCTCAACCTATGCCCGAAATCTTAGAGACACACTTATACTATAAGATCCTATTACCCTGAACTTATTTTATAAGTAATTTTCTACCCTTTTCGGCATACGTGGTATTAGATTGAAAAAAAATCAATCAGTGCTGGACCCATCAAAAAGGGGTAGAAAATTATTAATACAATAAGTTCAGAGATAATAGGAACTTAGTATAGTATAGCACAATTGCGTCTTTGATATTGCAGACATAGGTTGAGGGCTCTTTGTTATTTCTTAAAAATTAAAACTGATTGGGACAGATCAGGGAGCACATAAAGATCCAACCTTTTGACAGGGAAAAAAAGTCAAATTTCATATATTTGATGGTTTTTATCCCAACAAAAATATAAATTTCACTTAACAAAAGTGAACACCAAAAAGAAAATACATAAAAATTCAAAATTTATATCCACAAGACAAGAACATACCAGATGAGGAGAACACTTGTAAGGAGAGTTGGTCAATTTTGCAGAGCTCTTGGAAAAGGCATATAAGCAAGAAAATATATGAAAAAACAAATGAAGAAGGAGCAAAGTATTGTATGTGAAATATAAAATACAAATGTAGAGTGATTGTGTCTGAACTTTCCTCTTATTGTAGTCTTATGTTCATGATTGATAGAGGGTATGATTGGGAAACAATTTCTGATGATAAGGCCTTGGTTGGTCCTCACTTTTTCATTTTTGGATTTTTTATATATATATTTTTTAATTTTTTATTCGGTGTTTGGTACGTATAAGAGAGCTCGATTTAATTTGAGCTTGGGTTGGTTCAACCTTTCTACTTTAGCTTCTTTTTTTTTTTGATAAATTACACAAATTACATAGTAAAATTACAGTATATCTCTTAAAAGTTTATAATTACAGAATTCTCTCAAACAGATATAATAATATAAGCGTTAATACATTAAAATCGCCAAAATCAAAGCGTTCATACAATAAAAAGAGAATTGGATATATTAATGACATTTTTGACTTGAGAGAAAAATGAGGAATTTTGAAAAAATTTAAAACTTCTTGAGGATAATGGTAATAAGTAAATTAAAGTGTGGGAATTTTGTAATTAATCTTTTTTGGTTTTTTATTTCTTATTTAGTGCTTGATATTCATATTGGACTTGACTAATTCAAATTTGTACATTTCAGAGTTTATTTTTTCTTGTGGATTGAATTAGATTAATTATTTAAATCAAATAAAAATAAATTTAATTAAGAGGGACTTTAAAAAATGATTATAGTTTTGGCTTAATTAGAGATTTGTAGCTATAATTTACTTAATTAGTATCCATAGCTACATGTTTAGGGAGGAGAGAGGCTAGCAAGACTAGGAGATAGAAGAGAGAGGCGAGCAACATCTGTGGATCTGTGAGAAGAGGGGTTGAATATATGTTGTATCACAAGTACAAATGATATAATTGATTTGTATATTAGTAAATACAATTGTATAAAAAAACTATTGTATTTAGCTACATGTTGGGAGGATAGAGGATAAAGGCGAGCAAGATTGAGTTTATTTTTTCTTTATTATTTTATCTTTTACTTTTACTATTTGATATTCGATATTTATATTACAATATAATTATTTTTAATTTGTGTCTTGTAGCACAGCACCCTGTTGGTCGTGGTGACACATCCAACAATATTTTTTCATATCGAATTACAAACCCAAACTTTTCATCACAATCTGTTTTCGTTTGTTTCCTTCGATATAGCTTATGTTCCCTTCTTTTGGTCACAAAAAATTAGTTTTTTTCATCTTTTGAAAGGAAATATAACTTCCGCAAAAGCATTTGCAAAGAAATTTTGATTGGATACGTAATATTGGAAAAATAATAGAAATCTCATCTTTGAGTTCTCTTATTATACCATTATTCTCTATTAGTTTTATAAATTTTCAAGATTTTTCATTTTCACACATCACATTAATTTATCAACACATCAAATTAATGTATCTCGCACATCACATTAGTGTATCGTGTATAAAATATACACCAGATTAGTGTATCATGTATAAAGTGTTGTTTTATTTTAAAAATACTATTGGTTTAAAAAATGGTGTGAAGATGACTAGGTTTCGAAAAATAGATTAATCTTATTATTTAAGAAAAATTAACTTTCCAAATTACGGAGTCGCTACTTGATTTTGATAAAATCAAGAAAAAAAAATTCAAAGTATTCAAAACAGATAAAATCAATTGAAAAAAGGTGAAGTTCAATGTACATCCGAGAAGGTGTTAGGCCCTCGGGATGCCCGCTAACTCGCAATTGACTGGCGATTTGACTAAATGACTTTTAAAATAAAAATTTTAACTAAGTAAAGAGAAAATTTATTTTAATATTTTTATTTCATTTTTACTTCTAAAGGGAAATATTTAGAGGGACTTAATTTAAGGAAAACTAAATGGTGATAAAAGTAAATAAAACAAAAATAGTAAACTTTAAAATAATGAAAAATGGCTACCCTTTAGAAGATTATTAAAATTCTACCAAAGTATTAAATAATTCAAACAAATAAATAATAGAGAGAAAAATATTTGAACTTGGGCTTGGTTGCCCAAATTCATTCATTTCGGCTTTGGCCCACTTGTCCTAAACTAATTCTTACAAGGGAAAATTACATGGGATGACAAACATTCATAGCTAATTATATTATAGGGGTTTAGTTTAATTTATTTACCTTATATAAAATCATAGTTTATTTTTGTTTGCTATATTTAATGGGGTCCACAACCTATTATATAACCAATGGTATAAAAACATTATTTTCAAATTTTATATATAATTATACACAAAGCAATTTTCTCTCTCCTTGTCACATTCCAAATTTTTCTCCTACATTTAATACTCCAGCTATCTGGTTTAAAATTCAAATTGTTGTCCAAAATTAGATTACTCCCTCCCGAAGTTGAAGTTCCCTCCCGAAGTTGAAGTCAATTTCGTAAGTACTCCTTAATTTTAGTTGTTTACCTCTTTTTTTTTTACTTATTCAAAATTTGTATATGTGTTCTGTTTAATTTTTTTCCATATATTTTGATGAAATAATCAATTTTTTGTTCTTGATAGATCTAAAATTGGTCACACAAAGGATGAATCATCTTCATCTTTGAGGATTACCAGAGGTATTCCTTTGCATGTCAATGTTGTTGACATTTTACCATCGTTTTCGATGGGGTTAACTCAAGATTTTGGGTTTGATGTAGGGTCATTGGGAAAATCAAATCAAGTTATACAAGAACAAACAATGGAAAAGCTTAGATCAAAGGAAAAAAACGACCCTACGGCAGTTCAACAAGCTATTAACAATGCCAAAGCTAGAGGCATTAAAATAGTACAAGGAAGAAGAAAGAGGAAAGCTGTAAATATTGAATCAGAGGAAAATGCTTCTGAAGTTGTCTGATCTGAAGAACATAATATTCATGAGGTACTGTATTAAAACACAAAGTTAGATACAATTTTTTGGTTAATTAGATGTCAATATACAAAAAATATTACTTAAGTATTGTATATAGTATAATTGCATGTTTAGTAATTGTATATAGTATATTGCATATTTATGTTATTTTTGTTTTTTGTATATATATACAAAAAAGTAATTGAACTTAGTTATACAGATGATTTTTTTTTATATATATGATTAGAGTTTGTATATTCTATTAGTTATATACAAATTATTGAAGTTAGTATATATTAAGTTTATATACATATACAAAAATTGATATGTACATGTCTGTTTTAATAGCTGGTAGTAGGGAATTGTATATGAAAGGCTCATTATTTTTTTTGATATACATATGTACACAAAGTAATTGGATTTAGTTATATAGATGGGAAAATATCATATGCGATTATAATTTGTATATTGTAGTAGTTATATACAAATTATTGAAGTTAGTATATATTAACTTTATATATTATTGGAGTATATAAAAAGTCATTTAGAAACTTGTATATAATGTCACATTTAACTAATATATTCATGTACATATATAAATATACAAAAAAGGTAAGTTCATATATATATATACAGATTTTTTTTTGAATTTGAACGTTTAGCTTAAAAAAAGGGACGTTTCCCTAAAATTGTGGCATTATCTAAATTTATTGTTAGCATATTTAACGCTTCAGTTACAAACCACTTTTTAAAATATAATTGTATAAATAAAAAAAACATTATATACAAAATTAAAGATACCTAAAATAACTAAACTATACCCATATAAAGTAATTAGGTAAACTATACCCATATAATGTTATTTAATCTAATATGTTTGCCATATATGAAATTTTCCCTTCTTATAATTGGGCCCTCTTTAAAACCTGCAGAAACAAATGGCCTTTGGGCCTGTTAATAAAAAGGGCTGAAGGGCCCTGGTCCAATTCCTGAAAAGAGACATAAAGTGTACAAACAATGTATACTATTGTATACGATGCATATTCAATCCATTTTTGGACTTTTTGAGCGTTTCATTTGTTCGAATACGCATTTCTCACTATTCACCCTGTATTTCCCGCATCGTTTCTATGTATTTAGACCTGTATCATTTTTAACCTGTTTAACAAATGTATATCGCTGCCCAAAAATGTATACCACTGTATACAGTCTGTATCCTATGCACGTATTCATTGCCTATTCCCGTGTTTTATCTGACTTTGACATCCCTATACGCTAACATGCAATTCATATTTTTTACTCCTATTTGTGGTATAGCGTATCTGTATATCAGCCTGTTTTTCAACTTTCGAAAGTTGAAAGCTCCTTTTCAGCAGTGTATATCAACCCAGATTTCGATTTTTTCTTCCTGTACGCCTTTCAACCTGTGTATCAGTGTATAAAAAATGTATACAATATGTATACTGCTGCTCAAATCTGCAGATTTGATTTTCCAGCAACACATTTGCTGATTCTTCCGACCTGTAAATTAATTTCCAGCAGCTAATTTTTTGTGTTCAACCTGTATGCCAGTTTTGAGGGGGTCTACGACTCGAGAAGGATGTTTTGAGCCTTCATGGCTCAAACAAAGGATGCAAGGAGGAAAATGGAGTCCCAAAACGGACTTGAGAGGAGTTTCACAAAAGAAAAAAAAACAAAGCAAAACATTAGATAGAGAAGAAAAAAAAAGACATGGGATAGAATGAATGAATTAACAAGAGAAAGCATCTATGAACAAGTGAAGAGTTATTCAAACACTTGCAAAACCACAACAAAGAGATCCTTGAATAAGGCATGTATATATGCTTGGACACCAGGACTGTCATGGCAAAGATGACCTCAAACATGCAATACTTTTCAGAAGAATGATAAAATAGACATAATGGACAATTCTTCAAGATAGCAAAATAAGAACTTCATGTGAGGATATTTTTTTTTTAAAAAAAGGAAACGGTAAGCAATTGTGTCATCAGCTAAACATTACTATTAAGTGTTGACACCCAATTTTTGACCTGCTCCGGTATGATTTAATTAGCGAGCTTCATGAGTTTCCCAAATCACTTAAAATTAATTAGTTTTATAATTTTGCGAAATATAACGATACAATGTTTACATAGTTGTGTATATAGCCGGTATATCTTGTGTATATTCGAAACCAGCCCACTCCATTGGCCCACTCCACTTCTACTTCCAACCCCAGGCCCAAATTCCCTTTCAACCCAAAAATTCCGGCCCAACCCTCTTTAATCTTATAACCCGACCCAACCCCAAACTCCCTTCCCCTTTTTGACCCGCCCGTCCGACCCAAATCCCACTTTCTTCTTCCCCCAACACCACGCGATTCCCTCTCCCCCAACAGAAACCTCCCCCCACGCTGAAACCCAACAAAACCCAGAAACCCACGCGCAAAATCCCCAACGAAAACCTTCCCTCCCACGCTCTCCCTCTCCTCTCTCCTCTTCGCGTTCCTTCTCCCTTTATCGCGCGTGAAGGAACATTTTGTGTCGTCTTCCTCTGCGACTCGTACAATAGTACGCTCGCGCAGGCCTGGCAAGCGAGAAAGCTGGAAAATATTGTCGTTGGTGGCGAGATTGAGCCACGTCGCTTGCCAAGGACGAAGAACTCATCTCGATCGTCCACCTCACCTCCCAATCGTTGGGAATTTGGCATCTAAAAGGGCATATTCTTCAGCTTTGGAGAGGGATTGGAATTTCAAATTCGAATGGGCCGAAGTTAGTCCACCAGGCCTTCCCCCGAAAATCCTAATTGTTTTCTTCTATTTAAACCCCCAGACCCTTCAGTAAAAAAGGTTGGACGTTTTTTGGTTGAGAAATTTTCAGAGGTTAGCAATTTTTTGGTTGAAAATTTTCAGAGAGGGAAAATTTGGTTGGGATTTTCGGGTTTGAAAAATTGAAAAAAAAAATAAATCGAAATCTTGGTCTAGTCTATTTTGCTGCGTAAGAAGAGAAGGAGGATCTACGGAGATATTTTATTTTCTTCACTGTTGGTTTTACAAGAACGGAGGAAGTCGAAACCTTAGAGAGGAACAGTCGGTCTCATTAACAAGTGTTCGACTGTTTGTTCCGTCGAATCGTCGTAGTAAATCTCAGTGCGTCTCTTTCGTTGGGGGTGGAAGCTGTTCGCGATCGTGTGGTGGAATAGCTCGCACCAGCTCGTCGTCGTCCTCAGTTCGCTGCTTTCAGAGAGGTAACCCCCTCCACTCCTTGCTATCTCTTCGTTTCCTCTGTTTTCGAATAGTTTTCTGTCGCTTTAGTACTCCATGAGTTACTGCTGGTATGTCTGCTGTTTTTCTGAATCGTTTGGATCAAGTCTGTTGAAACGCTAGTTATTTTGAGCCACTTTGTTGTATCTGCGATTCGTTAGCGATTTCATTGTCTACCACGTTATGGTTTTCGACTTTGCCTCCTCATGACGATCTTTGTTGCTTTCGTGCATCTTGAGATTAATTTTTGTTAGCTCTCATATTAGAGTTGCTTGTTTGAATATTCCTCATCTGTTTTATACTATTCTGGTATGCTTATGGCTTCTAGTTATGGATGTATTGTTTTTGTGTAGTAAATTACTGCAAAAAGAGCCTTAGTCATAAGTATAAAGTATGTATCACGAATTTTGTTTCCTTTTCCTTTTCGAGCACCTAGGCACTGATTATTGGCATAAATTGAGCTTTGTTTGCTTTATTGAATTTAATTCGAGTGGAGGTTCCTAATTTCGTGTCAAATTGTTTTGAAGTCATTCGTCTTCCTCTTTAACCACGTATCTCTAGTTAATTCATTTCTATCTCAGTCTCTTGCCATTACGAATATTATTATTATATCCCTCAAGGTGCTAATTCGTTTCCATTGTTTGGTTGCATGTGAAATCCCTTTCGAGTCCATTTTGGGACTCCATTCCGTTCTTGCATTTTGGGAGAGTCATAAAGACTCACAAATTTCCTTCATCGAGTCAAGCCTTGAAATCGACGAAGAGATGCCGAAGATTGAAGGACTTGAAGATAATCAATTAGAAATTTCCTTATTTTACATTCCTTGTATTTTATTTGTAATGGGCCTAAGCCCTTATCGTTTTCTTTACTTCATATTTACTTTGTATTATTATTTGTTTAGTTAGGACAGGTACAAAAATGGGTCAAACACCCAAAAGCAGCTGGGTCCAAGATTCAGTCAACGCGAACAGAACTCGAACTTGGACCCGAATCTCTCTCCCCCTCCTCTCTCTCTATCTCTTTTACTATTCGTTTTACATGTCTGCGTGAATGTCGTTAGTTAGGGTTAGAAACTCCGAATCCCCATCGAACGCCTTTTTATTTTATCAAACTTAAAAAATTACAATCGAATCTTAAAACGATAAATATTGTAAAATTCATCTGGATAAAGCCTTAAGTTCAACTTTGAGACATTTGCAAAATCGCAAGATAAACAATAAATATTTCAAAACTTGTTAATTCGCCTAAGTAATTTTCCAATAAGTTCAATAAAATAGCAAAAGTTAAAACAAAAATAGTCAAATAGTTAATCGTCGGAAAATCGTAAGTTAGCGGAGTGTCTTAGGTGTCTTACACCTTCCTAAGACACTAATAAGAATCCTGAACCCCTTAAAAAGTTTTTTTTCAAAATGATTTTTCTGTTTAAGTTGTTTTGGAAATAAGTTTTCTTGATTTTTCTTAAAAATTTAGTGGCGACTCCTAAAAGTCGAAAATAAAACAAACTCTTTTTGAAATCTTTATTTTTTCGATAAAACATTAAGTATTAATCAATTCAGTACTCAAAGAATATAACACAGTCAAATCCTCAAACTCTCCTCATACTCAAGTAGCAGCAAGAGACATATGCAGCAACACCCGAACGAATAACCAAAACATTTTAGCTTCTTCTCTAAGGCCATAACAACTGATAAAAAAACAAAAGCTAACGTAAATGACTAGCTAAAATTTCAACCAGTAGCTTAAGTACATTACACTTGAACATACAACCTAAACAACAGCTATCGAAACAACACCATGAAACTAAGGCCAAAACAGTGGCTACGCGATTTGCTTGATAGCAAAGAAAGCGTATTACAGATTCGCAAGAGGTTTTCGGGGAGAGAAGAGAAAGCAAAAATAAACAGAGAATAACATACTTGATCACGATTATTCCATGGTCTAAACCAATGCAACAATGGATACAAGACACAATCATTGAACCATATTAACTCATAGGAGTAAATCACGGCATTCGCATATCTTTACATTAAACTAGAAACACAATATGATCCAAAAAAAAACATAAAAAATCTGCCTACAAACAGCTTCAAATGAAACTTAAACAAGGCTGAAGCATATCTGTCATTATCAACAGCAAATCAATCACACCAAGCAACCTTTCGAAGAAGAGTATATAAGTCGAAACGAGTAAGCAAAACAGTAACGCAACCAAAGGAAACAACAACGAACATCACATTGCATTCAACACTGAAGTCAGACATAAATAAAAGGAAGCATTACCTTTCTCCGTGCAGCGACTGAGACTTTGCAAGCAAAGGAAACGACCTTCCACAACCACAATGGAGGCCTGATAACTTCGACGAGCTCCGGAGACAATGAAGGAATAGGAATGGAACGAGGAAGGGATTAGACTTTAGATTGAATAGAAACTAGTTCCAATCGTTAAGGGCCTTAGCTTCAGCTTCGAATTTGAACTTTGTAGGTTGCTTTTAATCTCTGTTATATGAACTCCCTCGAAAATTCTGCCTTAACTTTCTTCAAAAAATTTCGACTATCTTTGTGTTCTTGTAACAATAAAATTTCAGCAAAAAAAAAACCTCCCGGAACAGTGGGGAAATGGCAATATATATAGCCATTTCTCCAGGGTGGAGAGCGGGGAAAAACGGAAGAAGGTTTGGGGCAAATTCGCGATTTCACGTCCCAATTTGAAATTCAAAAAAACCTAACCGGATAAGGTTGAAACGGAATGGTACAAATTTGTACTATTTCAACGGAATGAAGAGAATAGCGGTCCGATTTGAGAGAAAGGACGAGAGGGGAGAGGAGATTTCGACACCTCGCTGCGCTCTTGTACCAATCTCTGCCCTCTCTGAAAAACGTACGAAACGTAGTGGAGTTGATGAGATAGGGGACGATTCACGCGCAAAATAGAGGGAAGAACAGAGAGGAAGGCGCCCCTCTTTTTTTTTTTTGAAGTTCTGCGCGGCTGTTGAACGCAGAGAGGAAGAGGGAGAATCGGGTTTGGGTTGGGTTAAATTTGGTGGGTCGGGTAGGAGGAATGGGCTGCAAAAAGAATTGGGGCTGGCTGGAAATTAAAGGGAAAATGAATTGGGCCTGGGAATTATGTATGCTTCGTCTGATTCAAAATTATGAGTGTTTATTAGGGGTGTCAAATGGGCGAGTTGGGCTGAAATTGAAAATATTAAAAGATTTAATTACTTGAGTGAATCCTTTTTTATAAATAATTATTATTTTTAGCTATACTCTTTAATTATTACTATTTATAGCAATATAAATGATATTATAAGATTTTTTTGTCGCTCGCTCTTTCTCTCTTTTCTCTGTCAATTTTTTTCTTTTTGTTGCTCTTCCTCTCTTGCTTTCTTTTTATTATTTTTTCTCTGTTTTGCTTTCTTTTTTGCTGCGCACTCCCTCTCTTTCTGTTTTTTTCCCTTTAGTTTCTCTCTTTAATTTTTTTCGTAGAATAGTGAATAATTCGTAGAATGAATAAAACTTTTATCAATAATTAATTAATTAAAAAATAATTTATTGTAACAAATGAAGACACATAATAAATTGAAAATGAATTAAAAATGTATCACAGACATATTAAAGTTGAATTAAAAATGTATCATACAAATAACTATAGAGTAAATTAAACTTGTATTAATAATGAATTAAACAAGTAATCCAATAGTAATAAATAAATCAAAACATTGCAAAATAAATTAAATTGTTTTAAAATTGTATTACACAATATTAAAGTTGAATTAGAAGAGAATTTAGAATGAATAAAAAATGTAAACTAACAAAAGACAAGATAATGATCTATAAATTGAATTAATCTCATATCATCCATGAATAAAACTTATATCATATGCATTTTATAGATTACTTTTGCTTTTTTCACTATAATAATCAATTAATTAGACAAGTAATCTAATTGTAACAAATGAAGAAACATAATAAATTGTCAAATGAATTATACTTGAATAAAAAAAATGTTACACACATATCAAAATTGAATGAAAAACAAATTAAACATGAATGATAAATGTAGCAAATGAAAGAGCATTATGTGATTTGTAAATTGAATAAAATTTGAATCAATAATGAATTAAAGACGTAATTCAATCATAACAAATCAACTAATAAAATGCAAAAAATGAATTAACTTGTATTAAAAGTCCATACACAAATATTAAATTAAAGTTGAATTGAGCATAGATAAAAATTGTAACCAATGAAACACAAGACAATGATCTATAGAGTGAATTAAACTGATATCAATAATGAATTAAACAAGTAATTTAGTAATAACAAATAATAAACTACAAAATGAATTAAATTTGCATTAAAAGTGTATTACATAATATTAAAGTTGAATTAGAAGAGAAAAATAATAATAAATGAAAAGCGTAACTAATGAAAGACAAGACAATAATCTAAATTTAACCAAAATCAATTATAAACTTAACCAAACCCTCTTAAAATTGGGATAAACTACAAACGACATTTCACTTATTTGTAGCAACAACCTACCAAACTAATCGCAAGTTCGTATAATTGATTCTTTATAATGACAATCAATGATGAACTATTGTTTCTTTAATTTTAAAATTTTGAAATTCTTATATGAGACATCATATTGTACAATTTTTTGTTTTTGCTATTCCTTTTCTTGTCGTATTTTTGAATAAAAATAGTGAAATAAGGAAAAAAACTAATTTAAAAATAGTTATTTAAATGATTTTTAAAAAAAAAGAGGAAGAAAGATTGACACAGAAAGAAAAGAGAAAGAGAAAAAGGGCAAAGAAAGAGCGAAAGTAAGATTAACTATACAATTTTTTAATTCATAAATTTTTTTATATTTATTAGAAATATTATATTGACATAAATGGTAAATATTTTTTTTAATATGGTACATTTATGTGATTTACCCATATTAAAATGGGTTGAGACAGAAATCGGGTTGGGTCTTGACCCGCTCAAGTTTACTTTAGGATCGAATGGGCTTAAAATGGGTAGGGTCTTAACCCGCCCAATTTGATCTGATTAATCTCACTAATTTAACATATTGATATTTAACTTTTATAATCACAATATGAATTTTAGCTCGAACTTATTTTTTTAAAATAGTAACAAATGAATGGATAAATCATAAAAGATGCTATATAGATAATAATTTATACCTTAAATATAAAAACATATTTTAATAAAAAGTTTTTAAACGGGTTGAAATTGGAGATTGAATTGGGCTCAATTAAAGATTCTCTTCAAATGGGTTATGCTTGAATGCGTTGAGATTGAATCCGATTTAAATTATCTTGAGTCCAATCCTTAAAATTCTGGACGGACTGGACGGGTTGTCTATGTTTGGGTTCACTTTTGATACCCCTAGTTTTTATCATTTATGAATTTATCATAAAAACATTACATAAATCGTATAAATATAATGGAATTAATATTGTTACGGTCGTGTCTTTAAACATTGATACATACATGCATGAAATTTGGAGATTTGAGTACATAAATGCATCGAAGGAACCAAAATGTAAAATGGGGAGAAGTTGTCCAATCACAGGTTAGTTTTCAAAATTCAAGTGGATATTTGGAGATTGGTGAAGACTATATATCCAAGATTGCAAATCCTTACAAACTGGTTAACTCTGGTGGAATATCGTCATTTAAAATTAATTAGATCTAAATTCATAAGGATTATAATAAATATAGGATACTTGTTTAGTTATTTAAATCAAACAAATATGAATTAAATTAAGAGGAACTTTAAATGATTATAGTTTAGGCTTAATTAGAGATCTATAGCTATAGTTTATGTTTGGGAGAAGAGAAGTTAGCAAGACTAGGAGATGGAAGAGAAAGGCGAACGAAATCGGGAAGAGAGAAGTTGAATACATGTTGTATCAAATATACAAATGATACAATTGATTTGTATGTTAGTGAATATAATGATATAAAAACTATTGTATTTAGCTACATGTTAGGGGGATAGAGACAATCGAGATTGAGAGAGAGGAGAAGAGTGACGAGCGAGATTGAGAGGGGGGTGGGTGGGTGGGAGAGGGGCAAGATAGGAGAGAAGAGATGATGAATATATGTTGTATTTGTTGTATTTTGAATACAATTGATACAAAATACTAATATAGCTTGTCCGAATACTATTGATATAGAATACAAGTCTCACCTATATTTGATTGAATATAATTGACATACAATACATTTGATAAAGAGGATGAACACATTGTACTCGTAGTATCAAGTACTGATTTATATCTTATATCAAACATAACTATATCAAGTATATTAATGAATACAATTGAAAGAATACAAATATATCAACTTCAATGAAGTCTAAAACATTTATATTTCCTTCTTTTAACTCCTCCTCCTCTCTCAAACCCTTAGACAAAATTCTAAAAAAGAAATCAAAGCATAAGACTTTCAAGTAAGATTCTTTTTCGAATAATGTTCTTTCCAATATTTTTCAAGATCCTTCTTTAAGGTAAATTTCTCTTCAAAGAATTTAATCTTTCCCATTCAAATTCCTTCGTACGATGACGAATGATTAATAAAATTCTTAACCCTTAAGCATAGAATTTTCAAGAGACTAATCCAACAATCTCGAGAAAGGATATTCCATTATCGTTCTTCTAATTAGGGTTCTTCAAAATTCATGGAGCGTTCAAGGGATGTAAGGTTATTAAAGTGAGAAACTTTTTTCTTCCTTAGCCGCTACTCCTTCAATATATATTTTTAAGATCAAAGCTAGGGGTTTTACCCAAGATTCTATGATTTTGTATTTCCTTTATCTCCAATGATTGGTTCTTGATTTTTATCATCAAAATTATGATATTTATGTGACTATTGATTATTGATTTATGGTTCATGATTATTATACCGCATGAACCCCTTTCTAATAAATTTTATTTGAAAACCTTATTGTAGTATTTCATATGCATTAATCTCATAAATAAAGTATGTTCAAGATTTTAAAGAAGTCATGAACCATGAAATACTACGATAAGATTTTTAAATAACTTTAGTTAGAAAGGGGTCCATATGGTATAATAATCATGAATAATGATTCAATAATCATTAATAGCATAAATATCATAATTTTGATGATAAAAATTAAAAATCAATGATAGGAGATAAATGAAATCAAAATCATAAAATTGAGGATAAAAACCCTAGCTTTGATCTTAAAAACATATATTGTAGGAGTAGGCTGTGAGGAAGAACAAAGTTCCTCACTTTAATAATCTCACATACCTTACATGCTCCATGGATCTTAAAAAAGAACCCTAATTTGAACAAGAACGATGAAGAAATCATTTCTCAAGGTTCTAGAATTAGTTTCTTGAAAATGTTATGGCCAAGGGCTAATAATACTATTAATGATTCATGATTTTAAGAAGTGACTTGAATTGGAAAGATTAAAATCTTTAGAGAAGTATTTACCTTGAAGAAGAATATTGACAAAAATTTAAAAGAACATTAGTTAAAGAATAATCATTAAAAATATTTGAAAAAATCTTACTTAGAAGTCTTATGCTTTGATTTGCCTTTGAATTTTGTCTTAGAGCTTGAGAGGAGAAGGTGGAGTGGAAAGATGGAAATATCTCATGATTTAGATGCTTCCGATTAAGTATCTCTTATGAATTGATATGTTACGAAGTCATGATATTTCAAAGGAGATATTCTTATAATTTATGAATCTTTATAATTGAATTGGTATTATTAGATTCTCACCATTTTTAAAAAAATAAGATTATGAATATTGTATAATTTTATATATTTCCATTGGAAGTTACTTAGCACCGAGCCAGATTTTGGAATGAAGGATTTTCCGTTTAGTGTTCGTGAACCTTTAGTAGAAATCCCCAAGTCCCAGAACAATGTGTCACCATAGATTCTTGTCTCATATAGAAATTAGTTAGAAGATCCACCTTAGGTCAAACTCATAGTCTTTGCCTTGACATATAGGACAATTTTTTTTCGGTATGAGAATAAAATAACAGACTCCATGTTACTATTCACATGGTTTAATACAGATTAAGAATATATCCCACAGTTTAGCTTTTCAGATTATTGCTTTGGCATTATATTTAATTAGTTAATTTCGTTTCAGTATTTATCAATTGCATGTTTTACTACTTGGTCATTTCATCAATTCATGAATTTCAATTTCATATTCAATCTAGCGTCACAGATTCATCAAGCCCAGCTTTACAATTTATCATCCATATATCTCATATTAGTACATTGTTCGTGCTGATTCACATACCTCTTGTTCCTGCATATTTCATATGATGTACATTCAGATTGTTACTATCAGGATCCTAGATAGTTGAAGCTATTCTATTCACATGTATTGAATAAGGTAAGCGGGACTCATGTCTCACTAACTATAATCAATATTAGTAGAGACTTCATGGAAATTCAGTTAGAGTTGTTGTATTCAGTCTATTCTATTTTATTTTCCTTTCACATCACAGTTGTTGTATACAAAACTTTGTCCAAAAATATATTAAACCAATAATCCAATAATCATGCTTCCGCTCAGTCTTTTTCATTCTTTTACTTGTTCATATTTAGTTGCTCATGACTATGTCAATATCAAGAGTTAGCTTGGGTCACTCATGACGTTAAGCACCGTGTTACAACTAAGAGGTAGTCTCAGATATCGTGACATATACTACCCATTTTTCATAGCACATCCACCTTTCTCTATTTTTCATTAGTTGAATCAAAGTAGGCCTCATATCTATTTTAATACAAGAAGCAGTAGTATGTCAATAAAGTTTCAGCAAGGAACTAACAGAACAGTTCTTAAAAAGGTGTTGATATCCATTACCATATGTGTACCTATGTTGGATCAACACAAGGTGGTGGAGTATGTAATCTTTTCTATTAGCAGAAACACTAAAATGATTCTTGATACTTTCACCTAATAATTATGCATACAAATTTACTCATGTTCCTGTTTTAGCTTGTGCAAGTTTATATCCTTATAATGATTCAAGTCTTTTCTAACAACAAAAATTTATATGTTTATGTATGAGAGCTTACTGAGTATATCGTAGAACGAATCAAGACTTGTGCTTCTGGAATTTAAACCATCGAATCAAGACTGGTGATTCGAAGACATCTCATATCTTTCTTTACCATTATTTCTTAGACTAATCGAATCCACAAGTATTCGACATAGATTTGCACATAAAAATCAGTAGCAGAAGAAAATAAGAAATCCAGCAGAAGTTCCATTTCATGTATACAATCCACAAACTCAGAAAAACAGAGGATTTCATGTGCTATACATCAATGTTAATCCAAGAATCTGCTGAATATATCTAAATTTTTACTCTTACTAGTACCATCATGCTCGAAAAGCTGTTCAATTTCTACCATTCAACACATATTGCTTAAACCTGTCATTAGAATCACTAAAGAATGGAGCATTCAAAAGCTGATCAGCACTTGGTCTGTTCACTGGATTTTCTCTAAGACAAGCAAGAACAATCTCCTCAAACTCCTCCGAAAACACCCTTTTCTTTCGATTAACCACATTCCTCATCACTTCCTTGAATCTCCCATCCCTCTTGATCATCATCCTTTTAAGTGAGTTGGGCAGTTTCTTCTTCTTCCTTATCTCATCGACTATATAATTGAAGTCTACACGATTCCGAACAGGCAAATCCCCATACACTAATTCCAGTGCTGTTATTCCAAATAACCAAATATCAGATTTTGGTCCACTCCTACCTTCATTTTCTCTTTCATACACCTCTGGTGCAGCACCCCATCTAAAAATATTTTTCGGATTCAAAAACGGAGCGTATTGATTATTGCCTTGATTTTGGGTTTCGGAATCATAAGCAGATACTTCATATGCTAACTTGATCGATATTTCTTGAGTAGCATCGTCGAAATGAACAAAGATATCTCCAGCATTCAAAGTTTTATGAACCTTTGGATTAAACTCAACATGAATTTCATCTCTTAGACCAATAAGCACTTGTTTAAGAACAACAAAAATGAATTCCTCTGACAATTTTTTCTGAGGGCGAGTAGATAGAATATATCGAAGAGATCCCTCAGACATATACGGCAAAACAACACATAACAACTCATCATTATCACTGAAAATGTTGGTTACAACACTGAAGATTTTCCTAGATCCAATTATTTTTCCATAAGGAGTATCCATAAGACCTGTTTTACCTTGACGCCAGAGATCACGACTTTCACTTTCATTATCATTCATATCGATGATCTTCAAAGTGACCCATCTAGAATGCACAGTTATTTCAGAATCTGGTCTGTGTTCGGTATATAGAGCTTTGAAAACAGCGCCAGATCCATGAGAAAAAGAGCCAATGTCAGAGGTGAGAAGATACTGATCTTGATTATGTGGATCAGTGATTATTGGCTGGCGTACTTGTTGGTTTTCTGAAGTAGATAGACGAGCGAAACGCATCGATAGACTCGATCGATTAGAATCGAATTGAAGTGGGAGACTTGCGAAAGAAGGAACCGGGTCTGGTGCATTTGAAGGAGGATCAATAGAGGCTGGAAAACTTGTAGAACCATTTTCTTTGGGAAGGTATGGGTTATAGGGATTTTGGTTTTTCTTCATCTTTTCTTGGAGCAGAGAATCAGAATTTCAGAGAAAAAAAGAAATGGAGTTTGGTTCGTGAGGAAGACGACGACGACGAAGAAATGTATTTATAGCCTTGGCAGTTTGGGTTGTTTTTTTCCCGCGCATAATTGGTTTAACTAACTAACTCATATATATCACATTTTCATCGAGTCTTTTCATTTTTTCGATTTTTGTTACTATCTGTTGTATTTTGTATATTTCGTTTTTTAAATTTTTGCTATTATTTATTATTTTTTATGCTTTGATTATCGTATTGCTAATTTTTTTTCCTTCAATTTTTGTTACTATTTTTATTTCTTGTACTTTGATATCGTCTTACTAGTTTTTTATCTTTATTTTTTTTCTTTATATATAAAAAAATGTTTCTTTTTACTTTAACTATTGTATTATTAATGTTCTATCACTCGTTTTTTTTTCAATTTTTGCTATTATTTGTTGTTTTCTGTATTTTCATTATCGTATTACTAGCTTTCTAATTTTATTTTATTTTTTAAATTTTTGTCACTATTTGTTTGCTTGTATTTTGATTTCGTAGTACTAGTTTTCTATTTTTTTTAAAAAGAAATTTTGCTACTATTTGTTATTCTTACTTTAATTATCGTACTACTTGTAGTTACTATTTAAAATATTTTATTATGTTTACACTTTTATATATTCTTAATTGTTCTTTTTTGAGTTGAAGTCTCATCGAAAATATTTTTTTTTAACTTTTTTTTATGATGCAAAATTATTTAGAAATGCATAATTGACTTCTTTCTTTTTATATGAAAAAGGTCACCTTTCTAATATATAATAATTTTTCAAAAGATTGAAACGGGAAGTACGTTTTTTTAGTTTTGCCCTATTTTTTGAAAAAATCTATAATAATTATATTATTGCTAAAAAAAAGGGGACATCACGAATTTATGGGATTAAGGCAAATGTCTTATTTTACAATGCATAAAGTTGTCTCTGAGTAAGCGTAAAACTTGTGTATACCCTATCCTCCCAAAATCTTATTTTATTTTATGATACTATATTGACTATGTAATTATAATTATTTTTATTTTTAATTTTTTTTATAATTATTTTTTAATTATTTGTCTATTTTGATAAGTAAAGAAAGAATAATTTTTTATCTATTATATTTACAATTAAATGATTAATCACTTTAAAAAATGTATTTTTTTATTTATTTCATAATTAATAGAAGTAAAATGATTAAATTTACTATTTTATTAATTATTTCCTTAATATATATATATATATATATATATATATATATATATAAATTTAAAAATGGACAAGTAAAAAACAAGAGAAAGTATATATTATAGTAGTCTCAATTCTAGAAATTGAATGAATTTTTTTAACTAAAACAACTTATATGTAAAAAAAAAAGGGGGAGAAAAAGATTAGTTCTCCAAATTCTGAGTCCAAACACCTATACGTGTTTATCAAATTTGATGCATGCACTGGCATTTTAAAGATACAATAATCTCTCAAAAAACTTTTTTACATTTTTTATCATAATTATGGTGAATATTTTTTTATAATATATGTTATTTTTAATATATTAAATTAAATAATATATAAAAAGTAAATTATGTATAATTAATATAAGTATTATTTATACTCTATTTAATATTATTTTTATTTACTCTACCAAATGATCCCTAATTATTTGATAAGGTCTTATTGAGATGACCATTACATTATGTTTGGATCGTTATTACCTATTGTATTGCATTATATCGTTATTATACCTACAATGTTTGTTTTAATTGTTACTTAAAAAGTATTGTATTATATCGTTAAATTTCGTTGTTACCTAACAATGAAAACACCTATTTTATGGAACAACCAATTTGGTATGTTCCCATTGTTACTTAATTTCTTTTTTCAATTATATATTTACATAATATTTCAAAATACTATTTTACTCTTTATCTTAATTCTTTAAATCTAGTCAAACCTTCTATCCTAGAATAATTAGGATTTTTTAGTAAATTTATAAATTACAATGGATACGATCAAAATAAATAATTAAAATGCTATTAAACAACAACAAACAATACAGTCTAGCCAAACATTGTATCTACCATTCAATAAAGTATAATACAATACAATACATTATGAAACAATGAGTAACAATGATCCAAACAAAGTGTTAGTTACCTCATCATTTCAATTCAAGGATATTCGTGAGTCATTGTATATTTATAGGCAAAAGTATTCATTACCCCCCTGAACTTGAAGCTTTTTATTCAATGTACACCTAAACTTTATTTTGTTTCAATTACCCCCTGAACTTGCTTATTCATCCTACACGTACACCTTTTCTGTCCACTCAATATGATCGTGTCTACACGTGTACGACACCTAGATAAATATTTTGCCACCTAGATAAATATTGTGTTACCTAGATAATACCGACCTTCAAAATTCACACATCTTAAAACTTCTGAAAGAAGCTTCTCGGTTTTGCTCTAAACCTCTCTTTGATTTTCTCTAAACCTCTCACGAAAGTGTAATCGACAAAGTAACGAGTAGATTTGGCAAGTGTAATCGACAAAGTAACGAGTAGATTTGTGCCAGTTGCAATTCTGGAGTAAAGAGTTGCTAGATTTCGTGAAGTGTTTGGTCGATCTTCTTAGGATCTTGTTTGAAATTGTGTCTACAAGTAAGTGATTATCCACTCAATTTCGCGAAGGCTTGATGTATTGTTGTCTGTTTTCTTTACTTTTTCATTCATACTTTGCCCTATTTTTCGTTTAACGTTTTGTCATAATTTCTGATTAGGGGTTTAATACTTTTCAACTAGAATTTTCACTTAATGAATGTATTATTATGAAGCTTTTTACCTTATGCATGCATGAGCATTAAGGTTTCTGATAATCAGTTTAAAAATTTAGGCTTTTTGGTAAAATTAAGGCTCTAAGTATTAGGGTTTCTGGTATTGTTAAATGGTGGGGTATTTTATAATTTGTTTAAGTATATTGTGTGGGATGCCTATTGTATGTTGATGAGTATCCTCTTCTTCCTTTCCAGCTACTGAAAGACTTAAAAATAATGGGGTTGCAAGGGTCGAACAAGAATGCCAACAAGAAAGTGATAATGATTACTTTTCAATAGATTAGATTGATACTGAAGAAGAAGTTGAACCAACTATCCAACAAGGAACTGAACCTTCTATTCAATAAGAAGTTAAGCCAATTACCCAAGAAAAAGCAGAGGAAGATAGTGATTCTGTCTGTTCTGACCAGTCTATTGACTATGGAAGCGATGTGCATGAGGAGTTGAGAATTGTTAAGGAAGACGTGAGAAAACTTAGAGAAAGTAGGAGGAGAAAGAAGAAGGAAAAACCAAAAGGTTATTTTAGGTAAAGTTGGATTTGATGAAGGGTATGAGGATATTGAAAAGGGAAAAATAATTTCAAGGGTAAGCTAACAGAGAATGAGCCATACTATGACAATTCTGACTGCGATAGTTTTCAAAGTGATGAAGAAGAACATGTTTCTGATGATGAACTTGAAGGAGGGAGTTTAAGGGGGAGAAAGAAGAGTAATAGGGTGGTCTATGATTCTTCTTGTGATATTGTAATATGGAAGTGTGGTTCGATATTTGAAAGTGTAAAGCAATTTAGAGAGGCAATTACAAAATATGTTATAAAAAAAGGAGTTGAGTTAGATAAGTATGTGAATGAGAGTACTAAAGTGAGAGTGAAGTGTAAAAGTGGTTGTCCATGGCTGTTGTATGCAAGCAAGGAAGGAGTGAGAACTTTACTATCAAGATATACAATCCAAGGTACAAATGTACCAGGACCACCAATAATATTTTGTGTAATAATTCAAAGTTCTTATGCAAGTATCTGAAAGATAGGATTATTTCTCAACCTAATATAAAAGGGTGGGAGATACAAGAATTGGTGAGGAAAGAGTTTAATGTTCATGTAGGCAAGACAGTTTGTTTAAAAACAAGAAAAAATATTTTAAAGGAAACTATGGGAGATCATGTGACAGAATTTAACAGAATCCTAGACTACAAGAATATGTTACTCCAAACAAATCCTGGTAGCACTTGTGTTGTGAAGCTTAAAGATTCAGAATCAGGAAATGGGATGAAACAATTCCACTTTTTTTTTATATTTGTTTTGATGCTATGAAAAAGGATTTTCAACAAGGATGCAGAAGATGTATAGGGCTGGATGAGTGTTTTCTAAAGGGAATTTGTAGGGGTCAACTTTTGGTAGCTGTTGCTAAAGATGCAAACAACCAAATGTATCCAATAGCATGTGCAATAATTGATACTGAAAGCAAGTTGACATGGAAATGGTTCATGACCATTCTGAAAGTTGATCTTAATCTACGAAATGGTTCCCAACTAACTATCATTAGTGATATGCAAAAGGTAATTGAATATCTTTCTTTTGTTTATGTTTAATGTAATTGCTAATTTAATTTGACTAAAATTTAACTTGCTTTTTTTGCTTTGCAACTACAGGGACTAATAGCTGTTGTAGATAAACTATTTCCAGAATGTGAGCACAGAATGTGTGTTAGACACATATTAGCAAATTGGTCACAAAACTTAAAAGGCTTATAGAAAAGAAAGAAATTTTGGGCTTGTGCTAGATCAACATTTGAGGCACAATTTAAGTACAATATAAATGCCCTGTCCAAGCTGGGAATAGGTATTGTTGAATCCCTTATCAAATACAACAAGGAGAGATGGTGCAAAGCTTCTATTCAAACATTTTCAAAGTGTGATAGTATAGATAACAACATGGCAGAGAGTTTCAATTCTTGGATCTTGGGACCTAGTAACAAGACCATTGTAACTATGTTGGAAGAAATTAGAGTTAAGGTGATGAATAGAGTGAGTAAGTCAAGAGCATTTGCTGAAACATGGATAGATGTAATATCTCCAATGACAATGATGGTATTTAATACAAATGTAACAAGATCAATGCAGTGCAACATTGAATGGAATGGTGA